GCAGTACAATATAAATATAATTTATAATATTATACCAGTCACCAGATAAGACAATAGTATATAGTATACCTTATACTATATATAATATAAACCGTTCGAGTGATGCAAAGCTATATTATTGACTAATGAGATGAAGATAACATTATACTACATGTGTACATCTGTTAAGAATATTTTCTGATATATATATTTTTTTATATTCACATATTTTCTACAGAATAAATATTTGCGTGGTTTAAAGTTATATTAATTGCTAGTTAAATATGATAAGAAATAACAAAAACTCTAGGACAAAATGGAATAAATTTGTTGGGTCAGAAATAAAACAGATAAGGAAAAAATCAAACTATACACGGTTTTATACGATTAGTAAACTCAAATAGTACATGAAAATGTATAGGTACAAAGATTATTATTTTTAACACAATATGGACAATATGATTCTTTTTATCTACAAAAACTATTTATTAAATCCTAAACATAGAATACATATCAACGATAATTACACCTTTTAGTAGACGGTGAACTAGCGGTGCTTTTAGATCATAGTTTTCTACTCAATATTGATCTTTAAATTCCGTACTTTAATATGGATGAATTGGATTTAAAATGTTTGCCATTCTAATTATTTAAATTTGTGATCAACCAACCCGTCATAATATGTGTTGTGTACATTTGCAATGTTAATCATGTTAATCAATTATAGTAAATATTTTCAGAGAAAATATTAATTATTTATTTGCTCTTAATTTCAAATAAAAGTTTCCTTATTATGTTATTGTTCCTCTCATCGAATAATTTATTTATTATTTTGTAAGGTCGATGTCATTTATCTTCTTTTCCGACATTGTAATGTAAATAATGCCACTGACTACTGTGTGCACATAATATTTCGTACACACCTAAACACCTTTTTTTCCTTTACATGACATAAACATAATATACACTTATATAATATATATATATATTTATAAACATTTATTATACATAGAGACGCACTTGGCCACTTTGGGGCAACTACGCGATAAAATTGTTTCTTCGTATCGATCGTATAGCAATAAAAACCTTCGAACAACAAAATTGCTTTCTGCACATTTCAGTAATATATCCATGTATATGTCAGTAGTTGTCGAACCAACTGAAATTCATTTATATTATTTTTATTTTAATAATCAAAGCACTGTATCTGTTTATTAAGAAATTACTCTAAATATTGTATATTCTATTATACTCTCTGAGCCAGTAGGTACTATAAATACTACAAACAATGAAACAATAGGTACTCTATAGATACGCGATCGACTAGAAGTATATATGACGCGTATTTTAAAAAGTTAATAAGTAATCAATTTTGGGATTCGAAAAAATCGGATATTCACCTGAGAACTGAGATATTTTATTTTAAAACAGCAATACTGCTGACTGGTAATTATTTTCGTATTTATCGCCAACGACATGTCCTTATAAACAGCGCCTTCGCTGTAATGTGTTGGATGTAATGTGTATTGTGTTGGACGTCAGTATATTACAATTGTATAAACCTACCTCCTACCTACAGAATGGTTTTAAATTGTACAAAATCGAATAACAAAATTTGTTTTTAAACATTAACGAATAGAAAAATTATATTTTCATAACCCGTGTTTAATTAACGAGAAAAATGGACGAAAACGTATTTGGATTGTAGATTTTTGTATTTACTATTTAGGTACCTACCTCTAATGAAACGAGGTTTTCGCAATCGCAGTGAAAGTAAATACGGTTATCTGAAGTCTAGAACTGATAACAACCGTTGTCGAACAATCGTAATGATTATTCGTTATGCGGGTATTGTTATAACACCTATTTATTATTATTATGTATTATGTGCCTACTAGCCTACTACCAACCTTATGATATTATAGAGTTGGCGACAGATGGATCCTCGCAGTTAGTGTGCTATTAGTACGTGTTCACAATGCAGATAAATATTGATTTCATCTTATACACCGTAAACCGTTCTGGTACTTTATGCGCGAGGATGGTTATATATATACTCGCCATGTGTTGTCTTTGACGACAGCGTCCAAAAATACGCGTTGAAAGAATCCGGTCATTTCCTTCTATTGTCTTTTTTTATATTATATAATACTATTATTATCAGAATAGTAAATTTTCAAACAAAGTCCACCGAGGCCTTGGCTAATATCCTTAATTTTAAATTTGATAAAAATTTAAATTGAATTTGGCTCTATTCACTATATAAAGATGTTGAAAATAACAGAGTAAAACCAATTATTCGTTTACGAGTAGTTTTCTATGTTAGCGTTAGTTGAGACGAACACAACGTTACAACGATCAACGGGTGCAACGTTATCTTTAGTATTTTCATACCGTTTGCAGATTGAAGCGGTTAAACATAATAATATGATAATTTTCCAMAGCAAATCAAATGGTTGGTCGGTAGGGGATCGCGCGTAAGAGCGTCACGATGATAATATCCTAACACATGATATATTACACCGTTAGATTCTCATACCCCCCGGCGTGTCGGCGGGTGTCGTTCCCTTTTTTTTTTTTGGTGGGGTGGGCGGTGATGATAAAAGGCATGGCAAAACGGCCGATAACCGCGTCCTGTCTTCATTAAACTCCGATGCGGTAAAAGGTATGAGGTAATATGTTGGTACACAGTCGGCTGAGGGGTGGGTTAGTAATTTCCCCTTTAACCGCCTGCAATTCCGCCGGACGTGTAATGATAAGTATACCGAACAAAATGTTATAGGAATACGCGCTGCACAAAACGAAATAAATATTATTATAAATTATTATTATTATTATTGTACAATGTGGTGTGCGCAGCAGCTGTATACCAGATTTCGACTGATGAAATATTCAAGTAAATTTGTAACAGTGTATAATACTGTATATTCGGATGTACGACGACATGAAATTATAAATGTGTATACTGTATATTTGTAGCATTTATCAAACATATAATTGGCTGAAAAGTAAAAACTAACAATGTAAGAATAAGAAATATAAAATGTAAAATGTAAAATTAAATATAAAATATAATAATTAGGTCGGATATAATTCAGTTCCAGTAATAGGGAACCATCGTTTTATTGTCATTAATGGAGTATTATGGAGAGTCCTTTAAGCCGTTGCCCGTTAGTCATGCATTTTTGTTGTGGTTATGCAGATCATCGTTAAAAGTGCCTTCGAATACTTATGGATCGCATTCATTAAATACAATGCTATTAAGCATCATCGTTTGTTTGGTTGTTAGCCCTGATCCAAATTCACACTGTTCCGAGTTTAAAATGTTCCTTTTTTTACTACCACAGCTGGCACAGCACATAATCTTCCCTGGTCTGCGCCGAATCTATTTCGTTTTGTTAATTTCCAGAAACCTTTGTTCGGTCCATCAGTCCTAGCAATTTAATAATATTTTTATACCGTGGTTTGCCACCAACTGCCACGGGTCGGTTCGATTTTATCGTTGTGCACGTTTATTACAAACGCTTCAGAAATTTTAATTTTTACCGGGCACGGTGTATAATATAATAAACCATTCAATATTCCTGTTTACCAAACGGTACAGCCGTTCGTTAAATCATAACCGCTCTCCTCTTCCCCTCCCCCAACAAAAAAAAAAAAAAAAAAAAAAAAAAAAAACAAAAATACAACGTATATAATACAACGATCTTTTATCCGAGTATATTACCTTTTTTATAATATTTATTGAACGTTCATCCTGTGTACGTTAAATCATAATAATAGTATTTTAGGTACGCTTTGTCGTGCAATTCACTCGGTACGGCTCCCGTTCAAGACTTTTAAATACCCGACGACCTTTCGACGTGTAATCAGTCACGTATACACTCGTTCCGCCCCTCTACCTACGAGTACCAACGTGAGCTTTTTCGGCGTTGTCCGTTATTAATTATTTCAAGTGATTAACACGTACCTAGATTTACATTCACCAAAATCGAACGGCTACCGCGGTTACGTACACATTTTAGGCAGCTGCCGTGTGTAGCGGAGAGTTACAGTTGGGGCAAATAGGACTTGTAATACAACGCATAATATTGCGTACGTGTATTTAATGTTGTCCGTATACGAGATTTATTTAAAAATCTGTTTTACTTCGATAATACAATCATGCAGAGCAGTGTTCAAGGCCGACTGTGACCGTCACACGGAAAATTTCCGGTCATTTTCGTCACGTCAGTCGAAAGCTAAATTGCTAAATTTCTTTATCGTCTTCGCGGAAGGATATTCTGAAATTAATTTAACAACTGTTGTAACGCATAATGCCACTCTATAAAGTCAAAACCGACGATGATTTCCGTAGAATCTCCGCTTTCCCCCMCCCCCCCCCCCCCAAAGCAAAACGGATGACGTTTGTGCGGAACAAAGGCCGGCTCGGCGACGGTTGTCCTATCTCTATCGGTCGAGTTTTTGAAACGGAATCGGATAACTACGACAACGAGAGAAAGACACRCACGCACGCACGCACACACACTTACAGTTGTTGGCKAGAGACACGCACACACACACACACACACAGATACATAGAAACGTACACAAAGAGAGAGTGAGAGAGAGGGAAAGCGCCGTGGACAAAGAACGAAGGACCAAATAGATATAGATGTGGTGCGGTGGTGGGCTGAGCGGCGCGGGGGACCGAACAAGCGTAATCGTCGGCGGGCGGAGAGCGCGGTGTACGTGTGTATATGTGTACGCGCGCGTGGCTGCATGTGTGCGTGTGTATTATTTAGGGCCCTCGGGCCCCAACACGCACAGAGTAGGTTTTTCGGTGGCCGGGCTCGCGGCGGCGGCGGTGGCGGCGGCGAAGGGGATTAACCGAGGGGTCCCCCACTCTTTTGCCGATCGGCTGGTGCGAACAACGCGGCGGTGGCGGGCCGCGGGGTTTCTTTGTTCGAACAGCTGATTCGCGTTAGCCGGCCGGCGGATGGGACTGGGACGACCGCCGACCACCGCTACTCGTCAGTGTAGTAACAGCGTACAACAGACTACAGTCGTCAGTCCGCACACCACAGCCGCACACAGCGTTTCGTTGTCGTCGTCGTCGTTGTTACCGTCGTCGTCGTTGTTACCGTCGTCAGTCAGTCGATTAGCCGTCGCGGTCAGATTCGGTTCACTCCTTAGCTGCTGTACGAAATCCAATCGAGCAAAACGTTTACACACATCTCGTCAGTGTGTGACAGGCGACTTTTTCTCATTCATCCGTTGTCGCGTTTTACGAGCAATTCGTGTTAGTCGATCGTACATGTTTGTTATTCGTCAGTCGTAGTATTGTCTGTTTCGAAAAGAATATTTAAAAGATATATTTTCTTTTAAAACCTTAAACGAAAATCAGTCAACATTTCTTTCACTACTTCGTTCATCATTACCATAGCTAGGCGCGAGAAAAAAACGAAAAAAATGGAAGTCGTACCTCCGTATTACATACAACCGTCATACCCGGTTCATTCCACTCTCGGTACTTGGCTTTTTTTTCTAACAAACATTTTTACAATTTTTTTTCACCTTTATTATACTTATTTTTTTTTTATTTCACCCTAATAAACTTTCAATTAAAATTTCACAATTTATTTTTTATTTTTTATTATTTATTCTTATTTTTTATTTATTTTTTTTAATTTTAATTTTTTTATTTTGAAAAAAAATCAATTTTATTTTTTATTTTGACATTTTTCTAAAGTTTCGTGTTTTTTTTATATGTACACAGGAATCTTGAAATTGGAGGACATCGAATCAGAAACTAGTGCATTTATGGCATTACATCAGCGGCTTGAAGAAGAGCTTCGGGCCGCTAAGCGTGCGCAACTGTCTTGCGGCGAAGTCTTGTTGCCGCCGGACTTGCTGCACCGGATAGCTCATGACGTCCTCAAGATGGCTGAAAGCGAACCCTGTGGTCTCAGGTGAGTTTCGTTTTTTTTCCGTTAAACATGTTAATTTACACTTCCTCCACTTATCGACTTACTTGAGACTACCAGTTCCCAATACTCACTAGGACATTTATATTATTATTTATTCGAAACGTTTTTTTTTTAAATTTAACATACTTAAATAACTAATAATTTTTTTTATCTGTCCTCGCAGAGGATGCACTTTGTACCTGAATTTCGAAGGTGAACAAGAATGCCGGAAAATCGGCACGATCAAATGCGATACTAACACAGTGTCCACTTTTGAGTTGTTTCTCACACTCAAACAAAACCCTAGAAATGCGTGGTCGCTCATTCCACTATTCATTAGGTAAGTTAACCGAAACGTGTTTTACATGAAAATTTATTAATTACCCGCTCCGCTACACATCAAACGTTTGATGCAGCGCAGTATTTTTTTGCTCTTAAATTTTTCGTTTCTGATGAGATTCGTTTTTTTTTTCTTCTGGTGTAGGAATTTTACTAGCGGCGGCACAATAGTGATCGATCACGAATTCACAATAGAAAAACGGAAGCTGTATAGGTCTTTTTTAGAATAAAGAGCGCCGGATGTCCGGCKCTGCCGAACGCCAAATCCTCCACCTCCTTCTCATTATCAGTATCTCATCAAAACACCATCACCACCACAACTATAAATCCAACCACAACTAGTACGACCGATAGTACTCGTACCACGAATAGCACCGCCATCGCCGTGATTGAGAGAGAGCAAAGACTGATCCCCTCGGAACAGCCTGTGCGTTACAAGACGAAAAACACTCGTATCAAACATTAGCGGTCTTGTCGTCGATTATCATCAAGTAACAAAAAATTTGAAAAAAAAAAACCCAATTTATAATATACGCGTAATAATATATTGGTCTCGTGAGTGTGTGGAAGTGAATATTTATATATATATATATATATATATAATACATAAGTTTAACTATAAACATTAAAATAAAAACTAGCTTACGGCATGATAATACAATATTGTTTCATACGTTATAAATCGTGTGCGTAAGTTAAAAAAAAATTGTGATCAGTTCTATATGTTACGTTTAGTTTTTTGTTCTCGTTATTATTTTGTCGATACATTTATACATTGGATTATATTTATATTATATATATTTAATATTATATATGTCGCCAGATTATAATATGATTATTATTAATACTTTCCTTTTTTTTATTTTAATTTTATTTTTTACCCATATAAGTCGTTGTTCTTTATAGGATTTTTAATAAATACATATATATATATATATATATATATATATATATTATATATATTCATAGAGCGTAAACATTTAAGGTTAAATTATTATAGATTAGAGTTTTATATAGTATAGTTTAAAAAAAAACAAAAAAAAAACGTTGTGTATTAGGTGCAAAATAATTTTTTTATTAATGTACGTATTTTAAGTGAATGGTAGAGAGAGATAAATTACATATATATATAAATATATAATATATAAAGCGAATATAATATTATTTCCAATATTATCAGTGAGGAATTATTAATCAAAACGAAAAAAAAAATGTTTATATTATCGAGTGTTTGATGTCGCGTGTGTCCTCCAGACAATGATAAACTAAAGTAGAGTTTAGAATTTTAACCAATATTAACTTATTTAGGCTATAAATAAATCGCACCAAAAAAAAATATATATATATAAATATAATATAACTAAAAGCAAAAAAACTCCAAATCATCGGGCGTTTTTTAATTTGTTTTGCCAGATGTCTTTCATGTTCAAATATCTATATTGATAAAAAAAATATGTGTTAACCTTAGAGTAAGTGTTCCTAACTGACATCACACATACAATTAATACAAYATGCTATGCATTTATATATACTATTATATATGTATAGGTATTAGCGATTTTAAATAATATTTAAAAAAAATCCCTAAGAGCTTTTATTATTTTGTGTGATTATCTCACAAATGTGATATAATTTAGTATGTTGTGTGTGTATATATTTCAATAATATATACATGTATCGACGAACGGAATGAGATTATTATTAATRAATTTGAAAAATAAATATTGTAGGTCTTTATTCAATTTTGCTTACGCAGATAAGATTAAAACAACATATTTTGATTAATTATATACATACATATTATGTATGTATAAAGAATATTTTATTTAAAAATAYAGTCAAAGAAATTATAAGAATTGGCATTAAAACTAATAGTTTGTTTTTTATAATAATTTTTTAATTTAAATAGGCTAGTGAAAAATACCTATGTATTGTGATAACGGATTTTGACTTTTTTCTTTAAACGTAAACTTTCAAATTTCGTAGGCTTTAAGCGCGCGAGTGCGATGTGAATTTTTTTATATAACAGCCTGTTTTTCCTCCAAAAAATTAATAATTAATAATTCTATAAGAATAACTAAACCATTGTAATAAGAT